TTTTTAGATTTTCCACCATTTACTTCGTTTCTTTTGTATAGCAGTCTTGACTGTGTTTTGGGCATATTCATTGTAATATTTCGGTTATGCAGATGTCAGAAAATTTCAAATAAAGCAATCAACAACATAGAGCATAGTCAAACACTTAATAATTGCACAAGCTCAATTTGTCATATTTAACATGTACGTTATTACTGTAACTCATAAAAGCTTTTATTAAAAGTGTCCATTTTTGATTTCCAAAACTGTCATTGTTAAATTGCTTTTTCCAACATCACTAAAACTAAATCTTTAACTGGACTATGATTTCAGTGATAACTTTTTATGTTATTTATTTAGGTGCCTTCTTGATACCGTATGGTTTGATGTTGATATTTGGCGGTATACCCTTATTTTACATGGAACTTGCGCTTGGACAATTTTACAGAACAGGGGCCATCACATGTTGGGGTAGAGTGTGTCCATTATTCAAAGGTATATAAAACAGCTTAATACAATCTATTTCATTTGAAAGTATCTCTTGGTGAATAGTGAAATATTCACGATCATCACATCAAAACGAACTCGCCTGTTGTACACGTGTTTGAATCTACTATCATTTGTATGTCTAAATTCTGATGACAAATGTGTTTTGTTCAAAGAGTATCATACTAATAGAATAAACTTTAAATGAGAATACATTTTATATCGGTCTTATTATATGCTAGATAGGGAACGTAAAGATGCTTTTCGATTTTCGTTATTTACTCCACATTTTAAGTTATATGTCGATAACTGGTATATTTTGAGACTTAAAATAGTTAATTTGGTTTGTTTGTTATCTCGGTTTTACGGCGCACTAACACAGTGCCGAAAAAAAAGAAAGATGATTTGAGCTCATCTCGGGTGTTACAAATTCAACACCAGTGGTCAAAACCACCTCACCTGCTGGAGCTAAGAGATGCATATACTCCAGTTATTTTGGAACCATTTAGTCGCCGCATACTCGTATCACACAGGGCAAACCTTCAGCTACAAGGGGCATATATTTAGAGCTTTGTTTTGATGTTTTATATATAATCTAGTAAGTCAAATGTGCAATCTCATTTTTATCAGAGACCTACTGACCTGATACTTACTTTTATTATTATATAAGTTAATTTCTTCAAAGAGTTGTCTTTGCTTAAATAAAGTATGTTTTCTTTCTTCTTTCAGGAATAGGATGGGCAGTGGTATTAATTGCATTTTATACAGACTTTTTCTACAATGTTGTTATCGCGTGGGCGTTACATTTTTTCTTTGCTTCATTCACGGGTAATCTCCCATGGGAAAAATGTGACAATAATTGGAACACTCCATTATGTTTTGAGGGAATAATGGACCCTCCCGAAGTAAATAGTAGTGATACAAACAGTACTTCCGGTAACCAATCTTTGCAAAGAGTGTCTCCTGCGCACGAATATTTTGAGTAAGTTATTTATGTCAATATAACACATGGTTTTTAAATTTATTCAACATATTCAGTTGAGCATGATTTTACTAATTTTGATCCCATTTAAAGACCATTGTGCCTCAAATATGCTTTATTGTCATTTCTCAAATGCCTTTAATTTTAGTGTACTTTTGCAGTATCCAAAACGTTTCTGATCGGCCAATTACCTGAACCATCATTTTCATTTGTTGCTTTTTTGCAATAGGTACAGTTATAGTGAATAAGTATTTTGTATTTTCGAAAATACTATTTTGTTTACATTTCGCTACTTTTTTGACAAATTTACCGCTACTTTCTTCAGTTTAAAAACATTTCACATTCTCTTAAACCATTATTCAACATTAATATTATGCTAATTTGTTTAGAGACTATATAACCTTTTAATTCATTTAATACTCTTCAGAAAATTCTTCATCTTGAATGTTAAACGATAAACTGTAATCCGTATACATATATCTGTATTATTTGACTTAAAAATTAAAAATCTTTATCATGTTTAATGCAACAAATCTAAATATTTAATTGAATATTGAATTCATTATGGTCTGAACTGTTCACTATTCAAACAGTGAATAATTGGGGCTTTTTCCCATTTTCCTCCTTATAATGCATTGTTATGTATACAAAAAAGCAGATCATTTAAGATAGAAGCGTAATAGGGGTCAAAGAATTATAAATTAATCTATGTTTTTGTGTGTTTTTTTCTTCTCACTATGAAATAAATGTTGTACCACATCTACTCTGTGTGTTTACCGCGTATTTGTTTAATTTAAGCATTCCTCCCCCTTTTGTAACAAAATATGCACCAATCTGTATGCACGAGACGGATCAATTTTGAAAATGAAAAAAATATTCAAATTTTATGGCACTTCCTCTGTAATATTTGCATGCAGACGATAATTTCAACAAATGAGTTTGTACACGTTTGTTTTCATCTTGAACCTTTTTGTTTCTAATTAACTGCGTTTATATACACTAAGATTTACTTCACTTCAGTGAGGTTATATTTTTCTGGTCCTTTGGGTTTATTGAGTTGAAAATTAAGTACCGTTCAAGCCGGTGCTAGGGTCAATCAATCAAACCGAGTCTTCAATTTTGCTGTCTTTAATGCTTCCGAGGGATCACTTGATTTCGAGATATTTATAATTAATCATTATGATGCAATTACACCTATTACGTGCATTAGTTATATACCTGTTAATTTGTATATATTTATTGCCCGTATAAAAATATTCTTTGCTTTTGTTACGTTATATGATGGAAAAATGTGTGAGATTAAATTCGAACAATTTAAGTTAACAAATTCTGCCAATAAAACTTCGGTCACCATATTTAAAAAATGTTGTTGTTTCATCTTTGCTTTTTGTTACGTTATATGAAGGGAAAATGTGTCAGATTAAATTAGACATAACAATTTCTGCCAATAAAAATCTCTGTCAACCAGATTCAAAAATAATGAAAGTTCCAAAATTCATATGCTGAAATAGGCAGGGCAAGGGACAAAGGGCGACCTTGCGTTGTATTCACCCGAACAGCTCATGCATAGCCGAAATAACTTATAAAGTCATTTATATAGCTTTCTTTGGGGAACTTCATTTTTGAAATTTGTTCGTTTTTTGCACATTACTAAATTAATTAGTTAAAAGAGTTAAGATATATAATATAAGTATATTTTAACCTTCACTTAAAAAAACAAAATGTTATTTGACTCCCAGTTGACTTTTTATTTTTATAAATAGTCTTTTATGACAGGCAAAACGTTTGTGTACATGCTATATTGCAGTGTTTTTCCCCAAAAGCTAAAAACCCTTGTTAAGTGAATTAAAATAGTTTAAATAACGACGAATGTGGTTCTGAAACGGCAACGAAAAGAGAGCCACTTATGTTAAATTGATTTGCTACATACGCCTTTTTTTGTTAAAATAGTAAAGTCACATGTCAATAGTTATTTTAGCTTTATTAATTTTGCAAACGTTTTTGTCTGATTTTGTAGTTATCAATATATGGCATACATAATGTACAATTCCTTGCTAGGAAGATGCATTATTCATTATTAATCCCACACTTTTCTACATATTTGATATAGAAATGAATCGTATGTCACGTACGTTTTGGCAAAAAAAAAGGAACATGCTGATTAACAGTGCATAGATTAATCCCCTAACCATTATATGAAACTCTTGTTGTTGTTTTTTTATTTAAATTGAATATAATGGTAGAACTATGTTTTTTGTAGGCGCGGGATGTTACAGCTGCACAAGAGTGGCGGTATTTTTGCTGTTGGTCAGATTAACTGGCAGCTGATGTTATGTCTGCTGGGGGTATATCTCATCTGCTACTTCAGTCTCTGGAAAGGGATCCATACTTCCGGAAAGGTATTTTTCAATTTCTTATTCGCGGAAAGGTGATTTGTAAAGCATCCTGCAACTAGTATGATTTCTTCACTGGTGCCCAGGTTTTGTGTGAAAACTATGGTTTTGATCACGTGATAAGAAAAAGTCTTTGAACTTTGAATTTTCTGATGGATTTATTCTCTCATTTTTATCGTTCATTTCGATTAACTTCACATCATAATAAAAACAACGTTTTTTTATCAAAAAGACTCTGAAATTAACATCAGGATTTCAGTCAAACAATAATTGTGCAAAAATAAAACCTCACATAATGTATTTGAGATATTCAAAGATGAAAAAGAAGCAATAAAGTTCTTTGATTTTCACTATGTTTCTACTCGCGTAATTTGTCGAAAATGTACACCCGGTGACCATAAATTTGTTACGTTCAACCGAGTTATGTCAAACTACATTAGCATCATGTTCACACCATCTCGTCTGCCGTATTCAGTTTTCCCGCTTTATTACCATCATATACTCATAGAAAACACGGAGAACCCATTACTAGCTACACACATCGGCCAATTTTGTCGTGATTGAAATTGCTTACGGGTTAAAATCTTAAAAACCATACTTGATGTAATGTAAATTAGGGCAATAATACCGTCTTATTTTAAGTGCGAACGCGCGAAATTTATCAGTTGATCGAGTGACGTCATCACGCTTTCAGCATCATTTGAACATTAAAGAGAAATCAGCTTGATAGATCAAGGAAATGCAAATATTTGGTTACGTCGTATATCCCTTGATTCCATTAGTTTGTCGCATAAAATAAGGCTGCGTAACGAACGAGGGCACGTTGATTTTAACCTCCAAATTATATTTCTATTAATATGCAGACGACAGATATGTGAGAGCTCGCGAGCGTCTAGTCTCGTTTGAAATATGTCGTCCAAATGTAACTGTAGTAAATATTTGACAGACAAAAGTCATTACAGAACTATTAGACAGTATTTGTAGACAAACTCGAAGACTCTGTTTTTGCGATTTTACTACGGTACGGTGTGATGCAGCCATTAGCTTGATTGGAATTCGGCGCGTGACTACGCATAAATAGTTAAATTAGCCGCGTATTTTTGAACTTTGCTAAATGTTTATTCAGTAAAAATCCTTATCAACATTGCTTATTATGTTATTCTAATAAATAAATTGGAAGTTTTCGCTGGTTAATAAACTGCTGCGCTTGCAAAAATAACTTTTACATAACATTTATTCTGCTGAAGGGACGATTGTAAATATTTGGATAACTGTCAAAGAACTTCTCCCATCACAGGAAACTGGCATTTCCGGTCTTAATTGCGAATGTTATTGACTTCTGATATACTGATCAATATTTATGTAAATTTGCCCGACTTTAATCATTTTAAAACGAAAATTAATGAAGAAAGAAAAACAATGGTAATGAATAGCTTTTTCTATTATTGATACCTTTTTGAAATATTGTTATAAATAATCTATAGCCGCTACAGTAGTGAATGGAATTTTTACATATTTCATGTGTGAACAAATCATAACAAAAGTTCATTTAGACTTAACAAATATGATAATTATTTACAACACCCGGCCACGTTCTACCCACACGTCACTAAATGATTTAAAAGACTTGTAAATTATGTAAATTTGATGTAAATTGTTATCAAATATTTAAGCAGACATTTTGATAAAAGATGTTACACAAATTAAATGTAATACAGTGATATTAAGAGTATATTTTTATTTGAGTTCAACAGCTGTATATCATAGAAATTTGCGTCTTTTTGTATTAGCAACAAACACCAAAACTGTAGGCGTCATCCTGCAAATACCTTTTAGATTATTTCAAGAGTTGGCCTGTTGTATTTATAAATTATTTTGACAAAAATATTGTTCTATCAATTCATAATTGCACGAAACTTAAATAAGTTTTAAATAGTATAGTGGTCCAAGTGGAAAAATGAAAGATTAGAAGTTTTATGATAATGAATTGTTTAAAATTGATGAAAAATACTCGTTCATACGACAGGTTCAATATTTGAAACAATCTTATAATATGTTAAGAAGTTAAACAACTTTTCTTCGAAGAGCAAAATAAAAGAGCAAAAACCTCTTTTTTCAATGAGCAATCTATACTGTATAGATTTACAATCACAATTTTCATAGCATTTTCTTTTCATTCTTATATTAATGCAGGAAAAAAACAGGTTTGTTTCTTGTCGAGAAATAGATTTAACTATTTGAAACGAACGGTTGGTCAGGTTTGTACGTTAGGTATTTTGAATAACAATTTTAACGTAATATTTCATGTTTTTCAGGTTGTATGGTTTACAGCTTTGTTTCCCTATGTCGTATTGTTTATTTTATTAATCCGTGGGGCCACTCTACCTGGGGCAGGTGAAGGCCTCAAATATTACCTTCGACCAAACGTGACCAGACTGGCCACATCAGGGGTAAGGTTGCCATTTAAAACAAAAAAATACATACTACACTGTAGAATAATTTAATCCTTGCAAAAAATTCTTTTGAAATATAATAGTTCAGATGACTGAATGTCACGCACGATTTTTGTTCCCTAACCGTAACTGAAAACAGAAATGGCATAGTTTCAGTCACGGACCATACGGCAACCGAGGCATTCCCTTAAAAGTCATCATAGGACAGAGTTGTTCGGAAAGTTAGTAGACAAAGCTATAAAGTAATAATAATCGGTCATATCAATATAATATTGTTTTTATTTTGCTTAAATATGTATATATTTGCTGCATATTTCATCATTAATGAAGATGAAAACACTTATATATGCAAAATGCCAATTGCCCTGGTAACATGATTAACGTTTTACGGAGCATTTTTATGTTATTTGACTATTTCATTAGCCATTCCAATATATAAGAAACAATAACTAGACAGTAGATAGCCAAGACAGTAATTTAATACTTGCATTGCTTTTATAATCATTATCATAATTTTCAGTGTCATCGTCTATAAAAACTTATCATTATTATGGCTTTATATTTAGGTATGGATTGATGCAGGCACACAGGTTTTCTTCTCCCTGGGGCCAGGTTTTGGAGTATTGCTCGCATTTGCTAGTTACAACAAAAGAGACAATAACGTTTACAGGTAAGGTAACAGCACAGTTATGCTAAATGTCATTTGTTATACTAAGTTCAAATATCGTCATTGTTTTATTATAATATTTTTGAGAATGTTTTGAAAAATTAAGAAGTTTTTATCGAAATTATTATTATTTCAAACATTTTATTTCTCAAAACTTTCTTTAATCATTTTGATGGGCAAAAATTAATCAACAATTTATTGCAAGAAAAAATGATAAATTATGATAGTTCTCGGATTTGTAATAAAAATATTGGTACAACCTTTGAGCTGTAAAAAGATATTGAAAAGTTAAATTGCAACATGTCATATGGATAATTTTCATGACTCCTTCAAGTATATAAAACTTTTTATATCAAGACAGCATGAAATGTTACCTAATAGTTCAAATTCTGTTCAAAATATAACATCATTTCTTCATAAAATATGAAATATTACAAAATTTCTTTTTGAGATACGAAATATAAAAGCATATCTTTACAAAATACGAAATATAGGCCTAACATCATTTCTTTTCGAAATCTGAAATATTACGCCATTTATTTACAAAAAACATGTACAACATATCTTTACAAAATACGACATATTACATCATTTCTTCACAAAATACGAAACATAACACACACAATTTCTTTACGATATCCGAAATATAACACCATTTCTATATAAACACGAAATATTACACCATTTCTTTACAAAATACAAAATATAACACAATTATTTCTTAACAAAATACAATACCATTTCTTGACGAAATCCAAAATATAAAACACAATTATTTTACAAAATACGAAATATTACATCTTTTCTTTACGAACTACGAAATATAACACCACTTCTTTAACAAGAAACGAAATATTACAGTTACAACATTTGTGTTGTTTATATTTACAGAGATGCTTTGATTACCAGTATGGTGAATTGTTGCACCAGTTTCTTCTCCGGGTTTGTGATTTTTATGATCCTGGGTTACATGGCAGATAGGGCCAAGGTCAGCATTGAAACTGTAGCCACAGAAGGTATCGTATACTTAGTATATTCTTTATTCGTCTATATTTTTCTAATGGAATTGTCCTGCTTTGAATTGGAAAATGTTGAAGAAATTTAGATTCATAATGACATTTCAAATGATATATTCAAAATTGACAGTCCGGCTGCTGGTATTATACTGGCTGATAAGACAGGTTGTTATAACTGTGAATGATTAAATGTAAAAGACCTAAAATATGCTACCAAACAAAGACACAAAAATGCCGAAAAAAGTCATCGGCAATGTAACATCATTTTGTTTTAATGTGACATTTTTGTTGAAATCTTCTTGCATGCATCAGCCATGGTATTTTTTATCCAGACCTCAAATTAAATCTTTATGTCAAGGGTCTTCAAATGGTTTGTGTAGTACAAAAAAAAACCCATACAATTTTATAGATTACTAATTCTACTTCAGCGGTGCGTTTTGCATCCGTTTCATAATTACATCTCAATAATACAGTTGTACATATGATTAAATGTTTTCCCAGGTCCAGGACTGGTGTTTGAGGCGTACCCCATGGCTATAGCAACACTTCCCGGATCAACTTTTTGGGCTATCATTTTCTTTTTGATGTTACTCACACTTGGACTTGACAGTTCGGTATGTTTTTGTAAAATAAATAAATATATATATATATAGTCTCTGATATATTACAGTTTTTTTCACTAGTTGCTTTTTTCACTAGTGAAGAACACGTGTCCATAGAAATTCAACTTGTAAAATCATAGAAATTGATTAAAACATATCGCTGCAATCGCTGCAGTTTTATTTATTTTTGAACAACCCTCCTACTTTATTCTTTATTTTCCGCTGTTTTGATAATTAATTGTTGGCTAAGTGACATTTAATCAGTCAAAATGTAATGTAAATACTTTAAATAAAACATAGCTATATCCAATAAAATATATTTTTTAAAAAATTCATAAACGATAAAATTGTGTTGTTTCCATAAATATTTATTTAAACGGAATAAAATGTTCCGGAACATAATATCATGCTGCTATTTTAAGGAGGGTTTTAACCATTTACAATGGCGTTGTGCATGCGGTATTCGCTCTTAAAAAAATATACCAACATAGTATTTGGAAAGTTCACTTTTCAAAATTCAAACAATAACTGTAATTTACAGGAAGCAGATATATAGTTTAATACACTATAAATTATAGCATAATTTGTTCAGACTATTATTAATTGAAAAGTCGATGAAGAATATCATTTTACATAAATTCAATGCATTCAATGCATTTTTAAATCTAAATATTTTACCATTGTAGTTTGGAGGTTCAGAAGCGATTATCACTGCGTTATCAGATGAGTTCCCCATACTTCGCAAGCACAGAGAAATATTTGTAGCAATTTTGTTCGCGGTTTACTTCATCATCGGACTTTCTTTTGTTTCACAGGTATAGCTTGTATATATTTCAACATTCACCAATGAATGGAAATATGCAATGTTATTAAGGCAAAGATCAAATTATTTTATAGAGCATTACATTTTCTTATCTTGTTTTACCTTTGAAATAAAAATGCACCAGTGTATATAAACTGATCATTTCTGGTATATATACAATGTTGTACCTTCAATATTCGTCATTGATAGGAAATTTAGATGTCATTAAGGCAAAGCTGAAGTGATTAAATAGAGCATTACATTTTCTGATCTTGATTTACCTTTAATATAAAATGCATAGATCTGTGTTTGTTAACCGATCCTTTCTGGTATATAGTATGAACTTACCCCTTACCATGCTAAATATATTAAAAGAACTTGTCCATCTTTCAAACTGGACGAAACCATTCATCATTTAAGGAAAAAAATGAAAATATGTACCAGTGCAGACCATAAGTTGACGGTACGGATACCGGTTGATCTTGGTCTGCACTGGTCACAGAGGTATAACGTGTTTCCAGCAGGCGAAGGTTTAATCATACGGTCTATCAAGTCATAAGCAAGGACTTAGTTATTAATCAGTAATTTCAATAATATAATTTACAAGTTTACGCATATACATGTTTATCCAAACTTTATCTATTTCTATCATATAAAACATGCATTCCAGTATTCTATTGAACAATTTCAAACGTAAACGACCATTTTGTTCTATCACACAAAGAAATATCATAGTAATACATTTACATAAAACATTGTTTACAACATAAAATAACCTATAGTATGTTAAATTCGAACTTTTCTTCTGGTCCGAACGAGTTCGAAATAGACAGGTCAACTGTAAAATGTAATGGGTTTATGTATGAAAGAATAAGACATTGCAAAATATTAAAATATGTTTTGGTGTCTAAAATATTTTTAAAAGATTTAATTAGATATGTAAATTCATATTTTAGGGCGGAGCCTATGTTGTGACGTTAATGGACAAGTACGCAGCCGGATATTCCATTTTGTTTGCAGTTTTCTTTGAAACATTAGCAGTTTCTTGGGCGTATGGTAACATGTCTTTATGTTTATATAAAATTGTGATTCTACATTATAAATGAACAAAACAAAATACTTCTTTCTAATGTACCAAATTTGCACAGTCACAATGGTTGTAATAAATAGTGAAATAATACGTTTCAAAATTTTGACCAAACAATGAATACCTGCAATGGAAAAATTTATTAAGTTCATATGCAAGCAGAACCATTTACATGAGTATATTTAAAGACCATCTCGACAAAGTTGTTAAACACATACAGCCAAATTGTTAAAAAAAATCTTCATTGTCAAGGCAGATACATGCACAATAGAATCAAAATGCGTTATTCAAGCACATATAATTGTAATTAACAGGTGTTGAGAGATTCTCTGATGATATTGAATCTATGGTGGGATTTCGACCCGGCATTTACTGGAGAGTCACCTGGAAATACCTCGCACCCATCTTTTTATTGGTAAGCAATTTCTGTATGCCAATGAGCTTCTTTTTCATACATGTATATATGCATTTTATGATACTGCACGTTTGTATTGGATAATTGTGACTTTGTTAAAAACCTATATGATGTGATTGTGGATTTTTCTCTTAAAGTAATTCTGCTGGGCTGCGTTTCATTGAAAGCCCCAAGTGTATTCAAAGTCCATTGTACATTTTAACACCATTTTTTTATCTTTATCATAGTCCAATGTTTGAGATCATGTAAGGTCTTGTACTGTGATTGTTATTTTGTTTGTTTGTTTTAATTGGTGAAAATGAACATGGTCGTATCGCAATAGTGTCGTCCACTCATAGCCTTTTTGTGGTCATTGATGAAGTAACTTATTATAAAAACTCTTCTCAAATCATTTCACAAGCGTTCTTCAACATTTCCGTTGGTGTTTATGTTAGAGATTGTATTTCGGGCATTTTTACTACAGACTTTGTCAAGCATTTTCCCTATTCTTAAAGTCTGCCTTTGACAATTTCATAAACTGCCTGTATTGGTTTCAATTCTGTTATTTGATTCAATACAGTCATGACCTGCAAATGTTTTATTACTGCTCAAATTTCCTTTAAAGCTTCAAAGATTACAGATTTTCCCTTAACAAACTAAAGATTAATTACTTGCCGTTATTTCGTCGATAGCAAGCTTTCTATTCGCGTCCTGGCAAGATAATCGCCATTTTAATGTGTACGGCAATGCAAAGAAATAATTAACAATGAAATTGCAATTAACCTCTTGTAAAGTGAACCAACTTATTATACTGGCTTTATTTTTATGAAGCCTTCAAGCTTGTTCAGATAAGTGGTCACTAATTGATTCTATTAAGGAAGTTTATGAGCCGCGTCACGACAAAACCAACATAATGGCTTTGCGACCAGCATGGATCCAGACCAGCCTGCGTATCCGCGCAGTCTGATCAGGATCCATGCTGTTCGCTATCAGATTCTCTACTTGTTATAGGGTTTGTAAGCGAACAGCATGGATCCTGATCAGACTGCGCGGATGCGCAGGCTGGTCTGGATCCATGCTGGTCGCAAACGCACTTTGTTAGTTTTGTCGTGACACGGCTCATATTATGTTTAAATAAACGGGTCTTTGATAACAGTTTTAGTTGAACAACGTATATACCATGATAAACTAAAATAAAACTGATTTAGTATTTGCTATACAAGAATAATTTTCGTGATAACTACCGCTTTACTGGTCAACATAATGAACCTGGTTAAGTGTTTCCGGGTTAAACATGAAAGAAACTTAACTGCGGGTTAATCTTCTATAAAGTTAGTTTATGAGAATGTTTTTGCACGCTATTATGACGTCAATTTAGCACAGTGTATGAAGCTCATTAACACGTCGGCGAAAATAGTTCAAGAATTCATAAGTTCATTAACTTGCTAGGACTGTTATATTCAAGCCCACACCCGAGTTCGTTTCGTCTAGCTTTTACATAGTCAATGACACTGCCACGATGGCCGATCGTTGCAGAAATAACTTTAGGATGAGCTACCTTCTTCACCTACCAATAGAAGATTAATAGTTACGTCAATAAATCAGTGTTTGTTCGGCTTGAAACAAGCACAACTGGGTCAACGATATCATTTTACTTTACATTTCATAAATCATCACAATGAATTCTATATTGTATTTCAGTTTATCATGATATTTGGTTTGGTAAACTACGTTCCACTAGAGTATGACGACTATGCGTACCCCTGGCAGGCGAACTTCATCGGTTGGTGTATTGCCTTATCTAGTATACTATGTATACCAGGATTTGCAATCTACCAGTTCTTACGAACAAAAGGCTCCATTTCTGAGGTGAGCTTATTTGAAATTATCATTAAAATAAACTGAAACATTGTATAAATCTTTACATCGAAGTAAGTCCTCAACATAGGGTCCAATCAGCAACAGTTTGCATGAGAAACTGTTCTATTTATCATGCCATGCAAATAGTTTTGGGAATGTATGATCAGAATTTATTGTACATAAGTATATCTACAACACAAGAAAATGCATTCCACATATCATAAAATTTAAACAAAAGAAAATACAGTTGTATTATCAACTGAAGTGCCAAATATCAGCTCCCTGTAGATGGTAATAAAGCTGCTCATGACCAGATACTTGTCTTTTCACAACTACAAATCGTTGTTCCACTGAATGTTTTTACTAAAGTCCATGGTTGTTCTCAGGACAACACGGTATCATTCTTTTAGCGGATAAAAGACTAAAACTTTATATATTCAAAAGGAAACGTTAAACATTTATTTTGATTTTCCGCAGCGTTTCCACTACCTGTTGACTCCATATTTGGACAGCGTCGCAAACTGCGAAGGCGCGGCTTATAATGACGTCAGAGTCAATGGCGGCGTAGTAGGCGTTCACGTGTAGCTACAACAGCCAATCGGAAGTCCGCAAGCATTTAAACGCAGCATGCCAAAATATGAAAAGCATGCCAAAAAGTACGGAAAGTTTTCACAGATACTGAAGTGTGTGAACAATATAAACAAATTGATGTAGACAATGTTACAAGATTGTGCAAAGATGGAAACAGTTGTTGTTTATTTGAGAAATTTGACTCAAATACACAATGATTCATAAGTGCAATAATTAAAATTGATATTGTTGAAGTGTTTATATACTTTGTAATTGTGTTGTATTTTTTCAAAGATTACATTATCTAGCAGATTATATGATCTACATAATGGGATCTTGTCTTAAAACTAGAATCTACTGATATTTAAAACATAAAACATGCATATGATCAAATCATCTGAAATGTATAAAAGTAAAAAGAAATTACAGGTTCATCATAAATTAGAGGTGGAAACTTGTGCTTATCAAATTTCGATTATTCGGCTTGTAATATTCAAATATTCGATTTTCCCCAAGTGCTGCCAATTACAGGGGAAACTGTTGTGTATCAGTAAGGAATCTTGTCAAAAATTGAAGATATTTTGAAATACGTTTTTTCTTACGAATTTGGCCATAGATTTTGCAGCAACTTAATCAAAATGATTAATATCTGACCAATGGAAACGATCTATCCGTCAAAAAGAAACTAAGGAACACCGATTTATATTAATTTGACATTAACTTGTTGGTATCTTTTACCCTTATTCCATGACACGTTAACCTAATTCAACTGTTTGGAGTTGGTAGACTTGCTAAAACGTTTAATATTAGTTCAATAGTGATTTAAAGCAACATTTTAAGTCAACATAGACCAACTAGGATATTCACAAACATTTATTAGTAACGAGTATTGTCGTAGCCATTTTATTCACGTGATTAGAGTACTGTCACGTGCTTAGAGTACTGTCACGTGATGAGAGTGCTACCCGCCAGATGTGCTGTACATACATTTTTTGTTACATTATAATATATATTTAACGTATATAACTATACCATATGTTATGTTGTAATATTGTTAAGTTTATAGGAATTTAGCCCTATGCACAAATCGTGACAAAGTCGCTTTTTTTTACAATCTCTACCAAAATTGGACTAATTTCAAGTCAATTCTAGAAAAAAAAACCAAATATCTGTACCTATAAATAATATGTCATTTTTTTCTAGTTTGGTTTAAAGTACAAATATAAGTACAAATATTATTTTAATAAACATAATCTTATTATCAAACATGTGTGCCTTACATGAACAATTCACATATTTTTCTTTATGAAAAAATGCTCTAAATTCAACATATTTACAAAACGTATCGTTTATTAATCTTTAAAAAGTGGTCAAGAATGTAATTTTAAAAGAATTACATTGTAATTTGCATGTAGAAAAGTCCTATAGTATAAAACTATAACATTCAGTCACTTAAAACAATTTGGTAATCAAATATTACAAGTAACTTACCTGTGTTATATACATGTATAGTTATTAGTACTGATGTGACGTCACGAACGTAACACGTCACAGTTACGTCCATTACGTCTACTTTAACATCAACTGTAATTGGACAATACTACTACTTTGGTTACAAATTGAGTTAGTTCTATTAGATATTAAAATTTGATAAAAATCACATTTGAAATTACACAAAAGAACTAAAAGGCAAAACACAATCTGGACGAGATAAAATGGATACTAGTTTCCTTTAAAGTACATAAAAGATGTGATGAAGATGTTATATTCTTACCACTTCAAATTTTAGGCTTTGATGTATACTTAAGAAGCGTTATTATAGTTTCAATTGGTGTGTTAAGTGTACAAAAATATGGTTAACTCCTTAATTAAACCTCCAAGAATAAACCGGTTATTAAAAGTATCATGAATCCAGACTTTATAAGAATACACTTCTAGCAAAATGAAAAAGTTCTTCATGTATATATATTATAGTACATGTATATTGTTGTCTATGGGTGTATACCATTCTTATACAAGTTGTTATTGTTACTATTTTTAAAGTTATGTACATATATATACCTATATCTGAGGTGTCCATTATTTACTTACTACATATTAAAATGTGTTGTTTTTTCTACTCATTTGTATTTAGGTTTTGTAAAGCTTGAACAGTGATGCATTAATATAATTTATAGACTTTCAATGTGGTCAATATGTACTGTTATAGACCAGTCTTAAAAGTCATAATGTGTTAGAGAATGTGCAAGGTGTTAGAGATTCAAAAAACTTCTGAATTATGAACAAAATGAAGCTGAAAATTTGAAATATTTTTTTCTTCTATTAGACCAGAGTCGTTACATGATTAAAATTGTTAATAAAATTTACGTTGCCCCTGGAATGAGTATAAATAAAATTTCATTTTACTCTGACCAAAAAGTGGTCAATTGCTTATGAAAGGTTGTCATTTGTTGATGAGAAGTTGTCCATTGTTTATCGACGTACGATACATATTCATCACTGAGCTAGGGTAAAGTACAATAAATTATTGGGTAAATTGATTTCCAGGGTAATATTTTAGAAGACGAGATAAAATTGTTTTCAAACTCTGTACCTTATACCTCATTTTTCTTAATGTTCCAGTTTTTTTTTATTATTACAAATAGTGGTTAGTTATTATCGCATTGGGTATATTTATACGTTTTAATATTAATTTGTACAATACAGAATATATTGGACTGTCAAAAGCTTGAGAAACTATATTGGACAAACTGCTAGGGGGAGTCCAATATTGGTCTTAAAACTGTACAAGCCAAAATAAATGTTTTGCGCAAAACATTGTTAAATAGCTAACCAAACTTTATGTCAGTTACATTTTCTGAAAACAACTGTAACCAACTAATTGGGTATAGAAATATCTTATTCAAATGAAAAATTTGATTTTTTTAAAGTTCCATTGCAATCATCCTGGTTTGAATAAAACATTAGTTGTATTTTGTGTGAACTATACAAATTTAACATTTTCCAGGTAGGTTTCTATAACAAATTCTAGCTTACTTATTTCTGCTAGTTCCATTGTTAATAAGTTTTTGTGAATATAGTCAAAAATACTTTGTTTTCAAAATGGCTGTATATTTATATTTCACCAGTTTTTTTTTTACAATATTTAATAATTTAGTATTACACAAACTGATTGCTGCCAAAAGTTATACAGTAAATTACTTATTGTAAACTATATAGCACAATTTGTTATCATATTGACACACTTTATAGCATATTTTACTTGTTATGATATTGTCAAATATATATATACATTTGTACATGTGTATAATGTTGTAAATACATGTTGTCGACAAACATATGAGCCGTGTCACGACAAAACCAACGAAATGGGTTTGCGACCAGCATGGATCCAGACCAGCCTTCGCATCCGCGCAGTCTGATCAGGATCCATGCTGTTCGCTATAAGTTTCTTTATTTGTTATAGGGTCTGTAAGCGAACAGCATGGATCCTGATCAGACTGCGCGGATGCGCAGGCTGATCTGGATCCATGCTGGTCGCAAACCCATTATGTTGGTTTTGTCGTGACACGGCTCATATCTGTATTACAAATATATATACACGATATATTGTATTTAGATAGAAATAAAAACTCGTAAAAACAATTTTTGTTATATTTTATTTTCGCCCATGAAATTAATTTAACATACAAGTTATTTTAAAATCCTTCAATGCATGACAGTTACAGTCTGAACACCAATGTTGTGTAAGTTGGGGACGCACAGACGGAGGTTGTGATTTTAGTATGCCGCCCTTCGAGGTGGATGGGCATAAAAACATAACTGTGACAGTATATATATAATTTTTGATATAATATTTCCATATTTCATTAATCATATCTAGTAAATGAATGTATTTCAGTTTTTTTGCAAGTTTCTGCATCTTATTCCACAAACAATGTGTATTGCATTTGTCTGTGTAAAGTTGAAACTGTATATTTTTAGTTAAAGGAATTTCACAGTAAATTTATATCATAATTTTTGAAAGAGAGAAAATATTTTCATTTAAATGTGGTAATGAGTAAGGTTTTTAATATTGATAAATAAATAACACTCAATTGAATAACTTTCCCCATCATAAATTTGGAACATAGTAATACCGGCTGGAACCACGGCCACAGACAACAAAGTTATCCAAATATGTATATTCATATATGCCTAAGTAGCGCCACTGATTAACATGCATGTTTTTTTTTCTTCTATCAAAACCTATACTTTAACGAATGTCAATGCAAACAATAAATACCAGCAATAATATACAAGTCAGTGAAATTATGTACTTTTCATTATAACTAATTTATGAAAATATTTATTAAGTACTGCAGTACCTATATATACTACCCTTTATGTAATTTTAGTATCATTCAAAAAGTTATAATTAATCTGATTACAGTGTAGAGTCTGGTCACACTTTATGCATATAGAGCATGACCCTACAGTATCCTGATGGTACAGGCAAGTCACAAATTCTAAATCTTCTCTGGCATTTAAAATTATCAAACATTGTTCATGTATCATTTGGCTTCCTCCACGATCATATCTCGAGTTACTTGAAATGCTGCTATCAGTGAACTTAATTGTATCTTCTCATTTGTTCCCGATGACAGCCTGTATCTGAAAATAATGAATTCTTATAAACTGTATTGTGCTCACCACTATTTGTTCAAATTTTATGTCAAACCAACACTTTAGTCACATTGCATATTTCCAGCTATACTGGTCCGAGGAAAACTTTATATCCCTTTGCTATAATTTAGGTATTGAACAAATTAGTTAGGATGGATTGCTTTCACATATGAATTTGTTTGTTTGTTTCATTTTACGCCTTTTCCCAACAGTATTTCAGTCATATGGGCGGGCAGTTTCCTTACCATTGTTCCTGGAGAGTTACACCAGTACTAGACTACCTTCCTCCGTGCTTAACTACCAAAGCATCTCCTGGGGATCGAACCCAGGCCAGAGAGGTAACCGGATTAGAAGTCATCAACTCTAACCCCTCGACAACAATAAGAATCCAGTCACTTATGTATATTTTAAAGGCACAGGAAAAACTAAAAGGTCCATTCAAGACAGTGCCTTAATAAAGGTTTTCTATGAAAGAATTCATTCACTGTGCTAATGTTTTGAAACAAGCCTGAACATGTTTCATGAACCATAAATTGCATTTAGAAATATTGTTTTTGCACAATATCAGAATACATGTATTCACAAGGTTATCATAAATATTTACATGAACAAGAGGGCCATGATGGCCCCGAGGTCGTTCACCTGTATGTAGGCCCCCGCAGCGGGGCCAGTTTAAACCCCAGGACTTTTATTTGAACAAGCAAATTCGTTGAATTTATATCCCCCGCCGAGTACTGGTTATTATTAACACAACAACTGAAGACATGAGGCTTTATTTATATATTAATCATGGCATAAACAGTAATATTCTTTGAACTTGATAAATATTCAGGGCAATAACAGAGCCATAACTTTGTGTTAAATAGTAAAATCTGGAAATGCCAATGAGATGTATGCATACTACATAACTAATCAAGGGCCATAAATCTGAGTTATAAGTATCTGACTGGAACAAGGCGACTATATGCACATCTCCTTTTAGTATCCCATAAAGTTTCATTGAATTCCAGCCAGTAGTAGCAGAGAAGTAGCGAGGAAACAATTATTTTTCTATATGGATACTGCATAACTAATCAAGGGCCATAACTCTGAGTTAAATTGTCTGACCGGAACAAGCCGATGATATGCGCATCTCCTCTTGGTATTGAAGGTTCCCATAAAGTTTCGTTGAATTCCAGCCAGTAGTTGCAGAGAAGTAGTGCGGAAACGATTTTTACTCTATATGCATACAAAATAACTTATCAAGGGCCATAACTCTGAGCTAAAGGGTCTGACCGGAACAAGCCGACGATATGCGCATCTCCTCTTGATATTGATGATTCCCATAAAGTTTCGTTGAATTCCAGCCAGTAGTTGCAGAGAACTACTCCGGAAACGATTTTTACTCCATATGCATCTTGCATAACTAATCAAGGGCCATAACTCTGAGTTAAAGTGTCTGACCCGAACAAGCCGACGATATGCGCATCTCCTCTTGGTATTGAAGGTTCCCATAAAGTTTCGTTGAATTCCAGCCAGTAGTTGCAGAGAAGTAGCGGGGAAACAATTTTTACTCCATATGCATACTGCATAACTAATCAAGGGCCATAACTCTGAGTTAAAGTGTCTGACCGGAACAAGCCGACGATATGCGCATCTCCTCTTGATATTGATGATTCCCATAAAGTTTCGTTGAATTCCAGCCAGTAGTTGCAGAGAACTACTCTGGAAACGATTTTTACTCTATATGCATACTACACAACTAATCAAGGGCCATAACTCTGAGTTAAAGGGCCGGACCGGAACAAGCCGACGATATGCGCATCTCCTCTTGATATTGATGATTCCCATTAAGTTTTGTTGAATTCCAGCCAGTAGTTGCAGAGAACTACTCCGGAAACGAAATTCGGACGGACGGATGGACGGACGTACGGAAGGACGGACAACGCCAAAACTATATCCCCCTCCCGATTCCATCGGCGGGGGATAACAAACTTGGAAGACACCCATAAGATGTTTCATGATGTACACACTTATAATGAAAAACAATGATCTGCCCTCCCCCACCCCCGGCAGGGCCAATTTTATCCAAGGGCTTTTATTTGAACAAACTTGGTAGACACCCATAAGAAGATGTTTCATGCTAAACATCTAAGCTCTAGCTCATTGGGTTTTTTAAAAGAAGATTTTTTAAGTTTTTACTATACACATATAGTTAACAAGAAGCGCCGCAATGCGACGAAAACCAGGTTTTCAACGACCAAATTTTGATGTGACAGCGATCAATAGGTCAAAGTACACTGAAGTTATTGAGTAGAAGCTGAAAATTCTATTGTAAGCAAATGACCTTGAACTTGCTCCCAGATTTCTAAGTAGCAATCCAAAGCTGCCACTCAGCAAGTTTATTGTCAAAAGGTCAAAGCAAACTCAAGTTATAACATGAAAACTAAATACATTAACCTTGATCACAGACACCTGGGTAGCAATCCCAAGCTGCCTCTTGATATAAGCTACCCATTCATCAAGTTTGGTGTCAAAAGGCCAAAGCAAACTAAAGTTATTTAGTGGAAACTGAATTTCTATTTTTAATAACAGTGACCTTGACGTTAATCACAGACACCTGGATAGAATCCCAAGCTGCCTCTTGATATAAGCTATCCATACACCAAGTTTGGTGTCAGTACGCCAAAGCAAACTCAAGTTATTGAGCAGAAACTGAATTTCTATTTTTAGTAACAGTGACCTTGACCTTGATCACAGACACCTGGGTAGCAATCCCAAGCTGCCTCTTGATATAAGCTATCCATACACCAAGTTAGGTGTCAGTACGCCAAAGCAAACTCAAGTTATAGAGCGGAAACTGAATTTCTATTTTTAGTAACAGTGACCTTGACCTTGATCACAGACACCTGGGTAGCAATCCCAAGCTGCCTCTTGATATAAGCTATCCATACACCAAGTTAGGTATCAATAGGCTAAAGCAAACTCAAGTTATAGAGCGGAAACTGAATTTCTATTTTTAGTAACAGTGACCTTGACCTTGATCACAGACACCTGGATAGCAATCCCAAGCTGCCTCTTGATATAAGCTATCCATACACCACGTTTGGTGTCAATAGGCCAAAGCAAACTCAAGTTATTGAGCGGAAACTGAATTTCTATTTTTAGTAACAGTGACCTTGACCTTGATCACAGACACCTGGGTAGCAATCCCATGCTTACTCTTGATATAAGTTATCCATACACCAAGTTTGGTGTCAATAGGCCAAAGCAAACTCCAGTTATTGAGCAGAAACTGAATTTCTATTTTTAGTAACAGTGACCTTGACCTTGATCACAGACACCTGGGTAGCAATCCCAAGCTGCCTCTTGATATAAGCTATCCATACACCAAGTTTGGTGTCAATAGGCCAAAGCAAACTCAAGTTATTGAGCGGAAACTGAATTTCTATTTTTAGTAACAGTGACCTTGACCTTGATCACAGACACCTGGGTAGCAATCCCAAGCTGCCTCTTGATATAAGCTATCCATACACCAAGTTTGGTGTCAATAGGTCAAAACAAACTCAAGTTATTGAGCAGAAACTGAATTTCTATTTTTAGTAACAGTGACCTTGACCTTGATCACAGACACCTAGGTAGCAATCCCAAGCTGCCTCTTGATATAAGCTATCCATACACCAAGTTTGGTGTCAATAGGCCAAAGCAAACTAAAGTTATTGAGCGGAAACCAAAAGTTGACGCCCGCCCGCCCGCCTGCCCGCCCGCCGACTTCGGCATAACAATAACCCGGTTTTCGTTGAAAACCTGGTTAAAAACAATGACACCCCTTGGGTGCGGCCAGTTTTGACCCCAGGGTTTTTATTTGAACAAACTTTGTAGACACTTACTAGAACATGTTTCATGCTTAATATCTAAACTCTAGCTATTTGGGTTTTTTCAAAGAATACTTTTTAAGTTTTTGCTATACACATATATAAGGAAAATCAATGACCCCCGGGGCAGGGCCAATTTTCACCCCAGGGCTTTTATTTGAACAAACTTGGTAGACACCCATTAATTAGAACATGTTTCATGCTAAATATCTTAGCTCTAGCTCTTTGAGTTCTTTAAAAGAAGATTTTTTAAAGTTTTTACTATATACATATAGGGAAAATCAATGACCCCCTGGGGCGGGGCCAAATTTGACCCCAGGGCTTTTATTTGAACAAACTTGGTAGAATTAGAAGATGTTTCATGCTAAATATCTGAGCTCTAGTTCTTTTGGTTCTTGAAAAGAAGATATTTTAAGTTTTTGCTATATGCATATAGGGAAAATCAATGACCCCCTGGGGCAGGGCCAATTTTGACCCCAGGGCTTTTATTTGAACAAACTTGGTAGACACTCACTAGAAGATGTTTCATGCTAAATATCTAAAGTCTAGCTCTTTGGGTTTTTTAAAAGAAGATAATTAAAGTTTTTTCTTTCGGTTGCCATGGCAACCAGAGTTCTGTATGGAATTAAATTCTTTGAACAATTTTTAAAAGGTGACCACCAAAGGAACATTCCTGTGAAGTTTGGATGAAATTAGCTTAGTGGTTTATGAGGAGATGTCATTTAAAGTAAAAGTTTACTGACGGACGCCGGACGAAAAGCGATCACAAAAGCTCACCCTGTCACTTTGTGACAGGTGAGCTAAAAAGGCAATCAGTTATAACTACTTCTAAAATGAATCAACTTCTTTTCCATAAGCTGTTTTATATTTATAAATCTATTCTATCTTCGGTAAGAAAGACAAAAGTAAAGGTAAAGTGGTCAACTTACTCAACTTCTGCCATTTTCTCAAGGAGGTGAAGTCGAACATGCATTGGCAAATCCACTAGAAAACAAAGAAATAACACATTTACCATTTTTCATGCTATAAACAATTATAATTTCCAAGCTGACAAGACTCTATATTGCTGGTTGTTAAATTCAAGGATTTGGGTATTGAAATCCCATACAATAGCAACAAAGGCAATTTGAAACAGAACATATGTTGCTTTTCTGTTTTTTTTATGCCAATTTTAATACATGTTTTTGGTCATAGTTTATTACATACATATAGCAAGTTACGGGTTATTAGTTTGAAACCTTGATATACATAGACATGCATTTCCTGTATATTGGTTTGACTGGCAAACGTGAAAAACTATCATCATTTCTGTGCCAATAAAAACTTGTTTTCTATGTAACTGAAGATTTTAGAACATAAATTGATGAAATCAAGAGCAAAAGATAAAATACATTTGATATTTCAGTCCTACCTTGCTAGACACAGATGTTTTAACATGTGTTAAAATTGTTCATGCACAGATTATGTAATATGTTCCTATTTTTTTTTTTATTTTATGGTTGGGTTTTATGTGGCACCAACACTATAAAGGTCACATCGCAACTTTCCAGCTTTACTGGTGGGGGAAGACCTCATATGCCCCTGCATGCATAATGCATTATTTCAAGCAATAACAGGCAACTGAGTAGAACCACCAACTTTCTGTAAGCTAGCAGGATAGCTTCCTCACATGATAGAATTCAAAGTCCCTGGTGGGATCCAAACCCACAGACTAGGGTGCAAGTGGTGTGAAGTCAAAAGCCTCAACCACTTGGCCACAGATGCCCCTATATTTATATTCCGCGCAGTCTGATCAGGATCCATGCTGTTTGCTTTCAGTTGTAAGCAAACAACATGGATCCTGATCAGATGGCGGCAGGCTGGTCTGGATCCATGCTGGTCGCAAACCCATTATCTTGGTTTTGTCATGACGCGGCTCATATTCTCATTCATGCACAGACAAACAGATCAGGGCAAAAGAATACATGCATGTCCACTGATCTATCAATGTTGGAGTATAAAAAAGAAATCAAAATTCATTTACCTTTATGAACATACTGATGTACTTCTGTTAAAATATCTTGCAATGCCAATCCCTTTGCTGTTTTTAAATTCATTAAATCTGATAAAATGTTAAGGTCAATATGTGAAAGCTATGTCAATATATGAAAAAAAATATGCGAAAGCTTTATGCAAATTATTAAACAAAAATTGTAAATTTTAAAGAAATGTGTCAACTTCTTTACTTTATTTAAATGATATTTATGATGGCTAAAAAAGTATAAATTTCTAAGACTTCATTTTCAGTCTATCTGTTGTACATTTATGTTTCTAAAATCATGTGTGTATCTAAAAGTACATGATTAAGTATTACTTATTTCTCAGACCTCACTATTTCATTAGTGTTTTCTTGTAATTTATTTGTTGTACTTCGTAATAGGATAGTATATGAAATAATCTTAACAATTTGGAGTGGGATTTATAAAAAGACTGGAGTACAAAGTAAGCTATTTTGGTCAATTCACAAAGGGAGCCTCAACATCTTATTTTCACAAGGACAGCCTCAATGTTATTTTCACAAAGACAGCCTCAATGTTATTTTCACAAAGGGAGCCTCAATTCTATTTTCACAATAGTAGCCTAAATTCTATTTTCACAATGGGAGCCTCAATTTTTTTTTTAACAAAGAGAGCCTAATTCTATTTTCACAATGGGAGCCTCAATTTTTTTTTTAACAAAGGGAGCCTCAATAATATGCACAAAGGGAGCCTCAATTTTATCAATTATAACAAAAGGATACTGTTATAAGCAGTGGTAAAGTTTTCATTCAATATCCAGTACATTATATTTTCAATGTCTTTCCGTAGAGGATGTCCAACACACATATAAACACTATCTTCACTGATCTCATCATATGCCATAAAACAACTCTGAAATATAGATGCTCTAAAATGAAGATTCACTGTATTTATAATACAGTATGTTTGTAACATCGCTTTCATTGATTTTTTTTGTCGGGTTTTATGTCACCCAAACACAGTATAGGTCATATGGGACCACAAACTTTTCGTGAGCTAGCAGTATGACTTCCTCACATGAAAGAATTCCAAGTTCTTGTTGGAACTTGAACCAACAGTGGTTAGGGGCAAGTGGTTTGAAGTCAACAACCTTAACCACTAGGTCATATACAGCCCTGCCTTTCAGTGGATTATCATGATTTTTATATTATCTAAATTATATAAACACTGCTAATTTATAAAGTAATTTCTTTTTTTCTTTCTTTATTGAATGGTGTTTGCTGTTAAATAAATTTATAATAAAGGTTCCTGACAGGATAAATAGCATAAAATCTCTCGTAAAAATAATACTTTATTAAAAACACTGTAAAAAACATTTGACAAGTTTCCCTGCTTAACTAGTGAATGATGACCTTTGTTATGCAATAAGCAGTCCTGGCGTTAAATGAAAAATCTCAGAAATACAAAGACAGGTGACCAACTAGCTTTATATACATGTATGTTACCGCCAACAAGGATGAGTTTAAATAAAGTAACATTAGTCTTTGAGGGTAAAGAACTATCATGTAATACCTGTTATATATATGTAATACCTGTAATATATTTGTAATACCTGTAATATATTTAGAGATTTCCTCATATCACCGTTGGCCAGTGTAACCACGGCTTGCATTCCATCTGGTGATATATTTACACTACAAACACACAAAAACAGATTATAAGTACAGTTATGTCACCTTGATCAAAAATTCCACCCGTCCGCTCATAATTACGAGTAGAATTTAAGAGAACTTGATGCTGGACGAGTTGAAAAATATTGCCTGCACATTGGATTTAGAATGTACTCATCCCGCAGGACGAGTGACTCTGAAAATATTTTTCAATGCCTGAAAAAGAGTACAGTTATATCTAAGGGTGTAACGGTTTACCGGTATACCGATATATTGCAATATGAAAAAATAAATTTCGAACCGCGGTACGATTTTTGGAAAACCGGTATTTTATAAAAAATCATAATTTTCAATTAATTGCCTTCTAATTTTTATGGTGGCATATTTTTGCCACCAGATAACCATATAACTAAAAAGTTAATTATCAGGTTAACTAGTTAAGTAACTATAGTTAACCTCTTAATTAACTAGTAAATTAACTAGTAAATTATCAGGTTAACTAGTTACGTAACTAGTTAACCTCTTAATTAACTAGTTAGGTATTAGGTTAACTAGTTACGTAACTAGTTAACCTCTTAATTAACTAGTAAGTTATCAGGTTATCTGGTGGCAGAAAATATGCCACCATAAATTTTGTACAAATTTCACATAAAATCTTTAATTGGCAAATTTTGTTGGCGCCAACGTAAGATAAAAGTATCCGACAATTAGTACACTTAAAAGTCAATAAGCGGCCGCAAACTTTACATAAGCGGCCCAGATGTGAAGCTCACACGCGACTAGTTTTGTTTATCAAATTGTGTGACACTACTTTCTATTTATTCCTTACATTTTTATTAAGTTTCTACTAAAAATATTTACATATAAATAATAATATATAAATGTTACTCCATCTTTACATCAAAACATACACGACAATACGTATTGCAATATATTGCAATACGCTTCAGCAAAATGGCAATATATTGCAATACGGTTTTTGCTGTATTGTTACACCCCTAGTTATATCATCTCGTTTATGAGATAGGTGTAAAACCAAATGGTAAACAGCTCACAGCTGGATTATGTTACCTTTCCACAGAGCTACAAATAATTTTATAGAAATGTTGTGAAATATTTACCTTGTTTACATTACCTTATTATATAGCTAGCTTTTTAAGCAATGTGGTACTTTTTCACTTTTATTTATACTAAAGTCATATGGTAAACAATTTCAAAGGTGAACAGTTCACTTTTGGTTATATTACTGTCATGAAATGCATTGTGGCAAATTGTCCACTTTTGGTTGTATTTACTTTTTTATAGAGCTTGCTTTTAAAGCAATGTGGTAGGCTGTTCAGTTTTGGTTAGCTTTTAAAGCAATTTAGTAAAGATTTTACATTTCTTGTGAGACCTCATAGTTTCAATTCCTAATACTGAGATAAACTATTTTTAGACTGTTACGGATATTTCATATCCAGAAAAAATTGTCTTACTCTAAAATTTACATTTAGCAAGCTTTAGTCCTGTATTTCATTTTGTTTTTGTTGGGTTTAACTTTGCACCAGCATAGTATAGGTCATAAGGTGACTTTCCAGCTTTACTGGTGGAGGAAGATCTCAGGTGCTCCCTGTGCATAATTTCAGGTACCCAAGTAGAACCAACAAGGTCTATAAGCTAGCTGGATAGCTTCCCTACATTAAAGAATCAGAAGACCCTGTCGGGATTCCAACCCACAGCAGTGAGGGGGAAGTGATTTGAACTTTCAACTTTGAAGTCACTGACCTTAACCACTCTGCCATGGATGCCCTTCTCAAAAGTTTATAGTTGAATCAATCATTCACACAATCATAATATAACAATTTACATACATATTACATATAAAATATGAAAACATACCCTTCAGCTCTGATGACATGTTCGAGCCTCGGTACCATCTGTTCTGTAGACAGAGGAGCAAACCGGAACCTCGTACACCGAGACTGTAACGCTGGTATAATCTTTGACAGGTAGTTACAGATTATACAAAACCGGACATTATCTGTAAACTTCTCTATCACTGAAATTTAATGTTCAATCATTTTTAATAAACAGGTCAATATAACCCCCAAAAATGTATCATTCGTATTTCAGAAAATTCGTTTTTTATTTTTAACTTTGTTGTTCCATTACAGTTTCTGAAACAGTTCTTATTAGCCAAGTAGCTGAATCATCTTTTGTTGTTTGTTATTTTGGTCATAACTAAAGTTACAGTGATTTAGTTGTTTGTTTGGAAAATACAAGTTGCTACATTTATGATAAATTAGTTCATATTCAACACTTCTTCTTTTATGCGATGAGCCTCGAACATACTCTAAATCTGTTGTTGAAACAAGATACTTAGTCAGAGTAAAACCATGAGGCTTAGTGTGCCTTTAAAAATTAATTCAAAGTAGAAACATGAAAATATCAGTTAGAACATCACTGTGCTTGTACCTTTAGGTACATAACAAAGTGGAAATTCACTGAACATTGCAAGTTTTTCAAGAAAAATAAAGGAATTTAAGTAAATAGAAAAGTAAGTCATTTTCTGAACAAAATTAACTTGGGTTATTTCTAAGAAACACAAATATTTGATCTAGTATACCTCTCCTAAGGGAGTTCTGGGCATCTCTGGTCATTGCATCAGCCTCATCTAATATCACAAGTTTAAACCCCTTCCTGAAACAACAAACATAGGTTTAAACCCCTTCCTGAAACAATAAACACATGTTTGAATCCCTCCTGAAATAACAACACAAGTTTAAACATAGGTTTAAACCCTTTCCTTAAACAACAAACACAAGTTTAAACATAGGTTTAAACCCTTTTCTGAAACAAACACAAGTTTAAACCCCTTCCTGAAAAAACAAACACAAGTTTAAACCCTTTCCTAAAACAACAAACACAAGTTTAAACCCTTTCCTGAAAAAACAAACACAAGTTTAAAACCCTTCCTGAAACAACAAACACAAGTTTAAACCCCTTTCCTAAAAGAACAAACACAAGTTCAAACCCCTTCCTGAAACAACAACACAAGTTTTTGTTTGTTTGTTTGTTTCATTTTACGCCTTTTTCCAACAGTATTTCAGTCATATAGGCAGATAGTTTCCTAACCATCGTTCCTGGAGAGTTAAACCAGTACTAGACTACCTTCCTCCGCGCTAAACTACCAAAGCATCTCCTGGGGATCAAACCTACGCCAGAGAGGTAACTGGATTAGAACAACACAAGTTTAAACCCCTTCCTGAAACAACAATCACAAGTTTAAACTTTTTTCTGAAATAACAACCTCTACCTGTGCCTTACAATAACAACCTTTTATATCTACTTAAGCTTTTGATTAACATTTCAAAACCATGTTCATCATTAAGACATTTTGACATTGAAATTTCTTACCCTAAAATTTTTTAATAAACTGTTTCAATAACATGGTCAATAAAATCTATTTTTTTTAATTAATGATGTGCCCTCTTAATAAAAATTGTTAACACCTTTATATTTAACTATTTCTAGACATCTTCAGAGTTACTCCAAGTATCAATTAAATATTTCTGTTTTTTGGGGAAATCCTGTAATTCAAAACTTGAAGGCAAAACATCTAACACGTTCTGGGTTCCTGAATTAACATATGCTATGAACCTTTTTTACAGGTGACCCACAAAGCAAATTAATATATGACACATCTTAAATTAGTAAACCAAACTACGAAACTTAACTGTCAATAACATATACATGTACTCACTTAAAGATTGTCCTTGTGCTGGCAAAACTCAGAATCTGTCCTCGAACAATACCTATACCTCTATCATCTGATGCATTTAACTGAAAAATAAAATGAAAACAATGCGCTTTTCTCTAATTTGTAATTTGAATTCGGAAATATCTAGGGCTTTGATTATAACTGAATATTCGAAATGCCACCTACATTTCAATAAAGAACAAAAGCTGTCTATACGACAGCAAGCTTGACTATTCTAAGTGCCTTACAGGAAGAAAACGGGTATAACTCTGTTAAAATGTAACTTAAGTCATGTGACCTTCTGCAGGTAGCTCCACTTTTTCTATAGTTTTCAAACTTTTTGCGGAGAAGTGGCTTCTCCCTAAATTTGGACGTAGCTAGAGCTCAGACATGAATAGAACCGTCAACCTTTCATAATCTATGAGCTTTTCACTTACATCAAATTAACTTGTTCACAAAAAAACAAAACCATACCTCAAGGACCATCGAATGAAACTCTGAAGGGGTATACATCTGTTTAGCTACAGCCAGAATGGTGCTGGTCTTACCAGTACCTGGTGGTCCATAGAACAGTAAATGTGGAAGACGATTCTGTGATACAAACTTGTTTACTGAAATGAAATCAAAATTAAACTAATACTGTGATACAAACTTGTTTACTGAAATGAAAACGAAATCAAACTAAAACATTTTGCTGCTTCAAGTTTCCTTACTTAACAATTTTAACAGCTAGTGGTTACAAAAAAGAGGTATGAAAACATGCAGTCTAACTAAACTCTATACCATTGACTTCTCAAGGCTAGCACGGCCTCAAATTGGCTGGGGAGAACAACAATTAAGTTATTTACTTACAGATAAAGTTATTAACAGACAAGATATCTATATGGATAAGCAAAAGTGACCAAATATTTTGGGCATATTAAATGGACCCGACTCAAATTCTAATAGCCACTGGTTTGAGGACTACTGTAACATTTAATATTTTTAAACCAAAGTAATGCGTGTACAGACATAATTTTTTCCTCGACATTAAAACAAAATGTAAAAGCAGCTAATGATTTCAATTAAATGTCACCTACTAGTTGAAATGATGTCCTGGTGAGAGATAAGATCATCCAAATTATTTGGCCTGTACTTCTCTACCCTGAAATACAAAACAACTGAATAAACCACTGAATAAATGAGCCGCGACATGACAAAACCAACATAATGGGTTTGCGACTAGCATGGATCCAGACCAGCCTGCGCATCCGCGCAGTCTGATCAGGATCAAAGATGTTCGCTTACAAACCCTATAGCAAGTAGAGAAACTGATAGTCAACAGCATTGATCCTGATCAGACTGCGCGGATGCGCAGGCTGGTCTGGATCCATGCTGGTCGCAAACGTACTATGTTGGTTTTGACATGACGCTGCTCAAATTGTGTTATCACACTTCCTGATAATCATTTTTATCAATCCCTTTAAAGGCCCATTTTGCACAAGAAATGCTTTTATTTTTAAAAGCTTTTTATTGTTGGTGTCCCTCTATAGTTTACATGAAATTACCAATTGACCAATATTACCTGAACCATCTTTT